TTCTTCAATATTGTACCCCTCACACAATATTCCTCAAATTTTTACAATCAATTGGATTCGAACATTCAACAATTTTGTATTTTTTAATATCTAATGAAACTCGGTTTTTGGAATTTTTTTTTTACCTATTGTAAATATTTAGATCAAAATCCTGAAGAGTTTCAAACGGAATGCTATAAGTTTGATAAAGAGATATCCAATATAAATTCAGCCGGTGAAACTGATTATGCAGGAGATACCTGCTCTGGCGAAATATTTCTATCAAGTGCTAGCGAATTAAAAGAAGACAGTGTTGATGAGTTAAAATGTGAGAATGTTGGCGGATCGTATAAAGATGGTAACTTTGGGTCAAAGGCGGACACCGATTTAGATACTATAGATCGAGTAAATGAATTATTTTGTAATCTTAGAGGGGTTAATGGATAAACAGTTATCTCCGTATAATGCAAGCTCTCTAGTTAAGAGGATTAGAAAAGTAGAAGAGACGCTTAATAGTCTAAATTATTAAAAGTTAATCATTATCATCTTTTTTTATTTAAATTCTACGGCTTTCTACAATTAAAATAAAAAAAAGCTGATCGAATTTGGTCAAATGGGTGCCGAGACATCTTCGATCAAAGTTAAAAAAAATTAAAATGATCTACAGGGGTGTGGCATTATCAAAAAAGGGTGTGGAAATATCAATTCCCTTTATTTATAGATTTTTGTCAGATCTTATTTGAGTGGTATCAAAAAAAAACCATCAACAAGATTTCAATTATATTTTTATATTAGATACAGTTCTATATTAAATTATATAAATTGGATCTGGTACAAAATATAATTGAAATTCTGATAACAGGTTTTTTTTGATGATACTCATTTCATTTTTAATCAGATATTGCTTAATATATATATATAAGTTAGTAAATAATATTAAAATTAAAATTCATATTATATAAGTTTATTTGTTTATTAAAATATTGACAACATTATAGTTTATTTAACAATCTTATGGCTAATTTTGTCATTAGAAAATAAACTCATAATATGTGAGTTTAATTGTTTACATAAAAATTTACAAAAGACCTACTGGGATATTGATGTCTTTATAGAATTTGATACTTTTTGCAATTTCTGAATTTTATTTTCGTTAGTGTAACTAATTTGTTATTAGAAATAAAATTCATATTATAATGTTTATATAAAAATAAATGAAAGACCTACTAGAAATATTAATACCTTTATAGTTAACTAGCTTTTTGCCTTTTTTAGATTTGATTAAAGTTTCACTTCATCAGAAATTAAGTCACCTTTAATAATAGGGTATTGTGATTTTCTCCTTCCTCCAACTGGCCTTTTGCTTTTTTTAGATTGACTTTTACTAATAAAACTATCCCTTAAACCATATTCCAGGCAAATTTGCCTAGAATTTTTAAAAGTATTTACAATTTTTTAAATAAAATTAAAAATTATTAATGATATGGGGTATAATTTATATATACAATATTTTA